ATACTCTGTGTTTAGTGAATTTTGCTGATGATGAAAGAGTCACTGAAATTTATGTTCAGCATGAATCTTCTGTACAATTGAGTGCAAATGAATCTGATATAGATACTGGGAATGAACCTGTTGGGGGTACTGAGAATGAGCATGTTGGGGGTACTGGGAATGAACCATTAGATTTGAGTGATGGTTTAATTGATATGAATGATAGTGATGGTAGTGATGGCCAATCAGTTGGGGAGGATTCTGATCACTCTGATTTTCTAGCTGATAGTGATTTTTATGATTCTGATGATGATATCCAGTATGATGACAATGTAGACTTTGATGTAGAATGGGGAGGGTTAAGGGAAAAATCAAAAACAGAGCCTACCAATAGAAGATCTAGGAGATTAAATAAAACAGTTGATGAAGAGGGGTGAAGCAAGAAAAAACTGAATGAATGCACCCACAGTAACTTCCCTGTTTTCAATGAAAAACTTGATATGTCAGACCCTAAATTTCAACTGGGGCTTTGTTTTAATGATGCTGAATCATTAAGAAGTGCAGTAAGACAGCATTCTATTGTCCATGGTAGAGACATCAAATTCAAAAAAAATCAAAAAAAATAAAGTCCAAGTAATTTGCAAACATAAAACTTGTGACTGGACAATTTATGCTTCCCAACTTAGAAATGAAGCTACATTCCAGATCAAGAGTCTTAATGCAGTTCATGAGTGCAATAGGAAAGAGAGGGTCACTTGTGCAACATCTAGGTGGGTAGCCAACAAATATAAGGATAAGTTAGCCTCAGATCCTAAATGGCCTGTTGATTCCGTGATGTCTATTGTGCAGAAATACTGTAAGCTTTTGTTCAGTAGGCATCAAATGTACAGGGCAAAGAAAAAAGCCACTGAGTTGAACACTGGCTCAAGTGTTGAACAATATGGCTTAATGTGGAGGTATGCTGCAGAAGTGGTTAAAACTAATCCTGGCACCACAATTAGGATTAAAACTAAACCTGTTGGGGATGGGAATGAAATGAGATTTAAAAGAGTTTATCTGTGTTGGGGGGCTTTAAAGGAAGGGTTTCTGTCATGGTGTAGGCCTATTATCTTTTTGGAGGGATGCCACTTGAAAACATCATATGGTGGTGTCCTATTGTGTGCTGCAGGGATATATGCTAACAATGGTATTTATCCATTAGCATATGCAGTAGTTGAAAAGGAGAAAAAAGATAGTTGGTTGTGGTTTATTGAATTGTTGAAAACAGACTTGAACATTGAGAATAGTGGTTTGTGGACTGTGATGAGTGATAAACAGAAGGGGCTCATTGATGCTGTAGAGTTGTTGCTGCCTTTTTCAGAGCACATATTTTGTGTGATGCACTTATACAGTAACTTTAAGTTGTCACATAGAGGCTTAGCTCTAAAAAATATTTTGTGGAAAGCTGCCAGAGCTTCTAGGATTGTGGATTTTGAAAGGGTGATGAGGGAACTGGGTGAGAAGGACAAATCAGCCTTCAAATGGCTTGCTAAGAGGCCTGCAGCACATTGGTCTAGGTCTTATTTCAACACAAACTCCAAGTGTGATGTGTTACTGAACAACATGTGTGAAAGTTTTAATGCAATGATTGGAAGGGCTAGGAGTTTACCTATCATTGACATGCTGGAAGCTATCAGAATGATCTTAATGAAGAGGATTCATCTGAAAAGAGACACGATGGCCAAATACAGTGGTGATATTTGTCCTAACATTCAGAGGCAGTTAGATGATTTGAAGAAGAAGTCTATGGACTACATAGCTCATTGGAATGGCAAGGATCAGTTTGAGGTGGAGAGCTGTTATAGGGAGAAGTTCAAAGTCCACCTTGGGGATAATAGCTGCAGCTGTAGAAGATGGCAACTAACTGGAATCCCATGTGCACATGCTATTTCAAGCATGTATTGCATGGGATACACACCTGAGGATTATGTTGAAGGCTGGTACAAGAAAGACAAATACATGGCAATCTACAGTCACTTGATGAATGCTATGGAGGGTAATGAGTCTTGGCTTAATTCTGGCAAAAGTAAACTACTTCCTCCAGACATTGAGAGCATGCCAGGTAGACCACAGATGCACAATAGAAGAAAACAGCCAGGTGAAGGGTCCAGGGATATACCAGCTCTTGTTTGCAAGAACATAACAACAATTGGAAAGTTGGGGAGGCAAGGAGTGATAATGACTTGCAGTTTGTGTCACCAGAAGAAACATAATGCAAGAGGTTGTTCATTAAGGCAACCAAGTGAGCAAGGCACCACTAGTGGTGCTGCAAATAACAAAAGAAAGGTACATGTCTAGGGTTTTTGTTTATAATCTTATTTCTATTATAAGGTTCTTATGTTCTTTTCTTTTGTCAATTTGCAGAGGAAGCAATCAAAGAAGGGCAAGGAAAAAATACCCAATCAAGTGTCTGAAACACCAGTGGTTAGTATAATAACATTAATCATTTTTTTGTATCTCTGATTATGAACTATATTTTCATTAGTGTATGTGAAATAATAGCTTTGATGAATTTTTGATAAATGTGAGTATGAATTATATTCTATATTTTGATAATTGAAGATGGATGATGATACCTTGAGCCAGGAAATTGAGGCTGTATATCAGAGCTTGATTAATGAAGCTGAAGAAACTTCAAAACAAACTGATGAGACTGTGAGTAAAAGACAGAAATTACCAGTTAGGAAAGGGAAGAAAAAAAGCATTCCAGAAGAGGTAAAAGATTTGATTTTTAAATCCTTGGTTAAAACAAAGCTTCTGAACATATTGTTGTTTTTATTTTATTTTTTGTACTTTAGGTGGTTCCAAAATCAAAAAAGAGCAAAGAACCTATGGTGGTTGAGCAACTGAAGGTTCCAAGAACATGGAAGGGCAAAGAACCTATGGTGGCCAGTCAAACTTCAAGAGTGCCAAGAACACCTAGTAGCCAGCTATCACAAACAACTGTAAACAGCACCCTTTCAGCAAGTCTACAACTGCACCACCACATTTCAAGAATTTTTTTGTTAAAAAAATTGTAATTCAAGACAGTTGTAATGCTGGCAACTCTTTTTTGTTTTGGTATTTGCTATTTTGGTATTGTTAGTCTGTCTTTTCGAAAATTGTATTTCAGAAGTTTTTTTGGAAGTTTTTTTGGAATATTTTTGGAAGTCTTTTTCAGAACTGGATTGAAGACAAATTTTTCGTTTTGATATTAATGAAGAAGTTGATTATCTAATAGTTTGTTGTGAATATGTTTATGCTTGTTGTGAATAACATCACAGTACATTGGTACATTTATTTATGTGTGTTCTTACATTGACAAACCAAATCACAATAGCCATTGACTTCATTACATAAAGAGTACATTAAGATGAATAAACCACATCACAATAGCCATTGATTTCATTACATAAAGAGTACATTAAGATGAAATTACATTACACAATCTGTTTTTGAAAAACAGAGACACAAGAACAATAGAACACAACTCACTACATAAAAAATCAAAAACTCCAAAATATCTTAATTTCAAGAACACAGATTTTCAGGATACACAAATAAATATTTTAATTTCAAGAACACAGACATATTATATAAGAAGATACACAAACAACCATGAGATTATCACTGCAATCGACAAGCACTTTTCTCTTGAACTCTTCTTCATCAACTCCTCTTCACGCATGTTAATTTTCCGAAGCAGCCCAAGAATAATTTGACGAGATCTGTCACACATCGGGGGATCAATCCACACAAAGTAGTTACAGCCTCGAATTTTCTGGAAAAAAGAATTCAACATAATAATTAGTAGTTAATTATCTATAATTATAAACAACGTAAGAAGATCAAAACAACTATACCTTGTAGTTATCACATGTCGAGTATCTCCTTCCTGGATTTAAATCAGTCCAGGAAGTTCTTGTGACTACCCTTCTCGAACAATAACACGTTGTTTCCATTCTCTCACAAATTGCTTTCGTCTGTGAGAGACGACAGGAAAAAAAAAAGACAATAATTTCTAAGGGATTTTCGTCTTTGAGAGAGAAGATAAAAAAACGGATGGGAAGAAAAAATAAGATTTGGAGCACAACAGATATAAAGAAGAAGAAGAAGAAGCAGATTAATTTTGGAGGGAAAATTGGACAAACGGGAGAGGAAAAGGGGGGAAATACATCCCTAGGTTAGTTTTAAGTGATGAGACGGTTTTACCCTTAGAAAAATCACGTGAAATGCACATGTGTGGGATTCCGGCAAAAATGCCCGGAATATTCCCTTTTTAAGGCACCGTGCAACGAAAACCATAGTTTAGGTAAAAACGTGCAAAAATTTTTTGTTTGGGGGGTAAAGTGCAAAACGGGCTATAGTTTAGGGGGTAAACTGCTTTTTACTCAAAAAAAAAATACTACTATGATAAAGGGTTTGTGGTAATTTTGTCATATATATTAATTTTTCTTTGTTTCATAGTACATATTAAAGGAATGAACTTATTGACAAAAGATATATAGCCCATATATCTAAAATAATAAAAATAGTTGCAGGACTTATGCACACAAACCCCTGTCTATATATTTTGAAACACACTGAATATTGATGCAACCTATTTTGGGTTTTATGTGAATCTTCAATGATAGGAGTAATTTATTTGATAAATAAATAAGTACACAAATAAAAGAAGATAGAATATGCAACATCACTCTTTTATCATTTTTTTTTGAAATAAAATAATTAATTACATCTTTGTGATTAATTTAAATTTACAATAAACGATAGACCTATTTTATGTGTTTATTTGGAGAACTCGACTTTTGTAAAAAGGAATTTCGAAAGTTTACTTCTCGTATTCCAGAAAAAATATATTTTTGATTTTATTTTCGAAAAAAATTAATGGCATTTTTAATTATTAGAATTTTATACAAATATATAGGTTAAATAATACTCAAGCCCCTTGAATTTTAAACTTTTCGGACATGACTCCTAATTCTTTCAATATAAGCAGCATATGACCCTCTTGCATTGAAAGTACATGGAGTCATGTGCAAAATAATTTTCAACATCAAAGCCACATGGGATTGAAGTGCTATTTACCCAATAACCTAAATATACATGAAAAATTAGCAAGATCCCTCTGATTTGTAAAATTTATGTGGGAAATGATCCCTTTTTATTATTATTTTTTTTTATTTGAGAGAACTCCTTTCCTTTAAAACAACTCTACTCACAAATTTAAATTGTCCATTGTACCCTTCCAAAACCCTAATTTGAAATGATATTCCTTCATTTTTCTCCAACAATACGTAACACTCTCTCTCTCTCTCTATATCTTTCTCTCCTGATTTGGTAAAAATTAACTATTTTGGCCCATTAAAAGAAGGCCCAATGAAGGCCCAATAATGGGAAGCTTGCGAGAGTCCACTCCATGGCGAGAGAAGGGGAAGTTCGCGGTCGCCGAAATGAAAGGATGGGAAGGAATATTGTCTGAAAAGGGAAGCAGCATCGCCGACTTATATTTAATGCGTGTCTACTCAAAT